CTGCTGAACTGCATTTGGATTTAGTCCTAGTCATTTGTCATTTCTTCATTACTGGTTACAGACCTGCACTTACCCAGCGGTCAAGTACAAGAGCGGGATAAAGGACAAGCTCTAAAGCTGCAAACTAGTTGCCTTCATCATGTTAACTTAAAAACTAGACTACAGACTTCACCATTCTCATCGCTTGCAATTACCCTATTTGAAGATGTGCTGGAAAGTGAGCATGGAAATGGTTTCTGCCCAGGTGCTCTTCTTCCCTCAGACAGAGGGCCAACAGAAGAACTACCTACCAGTACCGGCATCCAGAAATTGGGGGCTACATTCTCCATTTCCCCCCTCCCTGCCCCAAAGAGGTCCACAGAATTTTAAAGGGACACAAGAAAGCAGCAGAGACTCCCTCTGCACCCAAAATATTGGGCCTAACCATCCACACAGTGTATATGGCCCTGCACGTACCCAGAGCCCAGGTGTGCCCAAGAGCCACCAAAACCATTCTGAATCCCTGCTGCCTCCCAAAAGAGCCTTTCCCCGCTATGTGACAGCCACCACATAAGCTTGCCCTAGGAACCACAAAGCAGGTCACTTCTTAAAATGTGAACCAACGCTTCAGGGCCCTCCCCGACTCCCAGTGCCATAATCACTGTTCACATGTGCTGCTTCTCTGACAGGTGGCACCGTGTGGAAGGCTCATTACGCTACTCCAGTATTCCAACCAGAAGCCTCTGGGGCCTGTTTTGGAAGAGGAATTTGCCCGTGCTTTGGGGATGGTGTAACCCATCACGACCCTCCGCTGCTGTTCGATCTCTCGCAAGATCCTTCCGAGGCAAATCCTCTCTCGGCTGACACTGAGCCCTTGTTTGACACTGTAACAAGGAGAATAGGAAAAGCTGTCGAAGAGCATCGCAAGACGCTGACTCCAGTCCCGCAACAGCTGTCTCCTTACAACAACATATGGAAGCCGTGGTTGCAGCCATGCTGTGGCACATTCCCATTCTGTTGGTGCGATGAAGAAGACAAAGCAGACGGCATTCTTTAATACCAAAATCAAAGTACATACAGCTAGCTTTAAAAAAGCTAATACTTTTCACGTTCACCCAACTACAGTCATCCAGAGATAGGAGTCAAGTTACACTGGAATAACTCAAAGGGACATTATTGATGCTTTTCATTCAACCTTTTCTTACCCACAGAAATTCAATAAACCTGTAGTTTAAAAAAAATAAATTAAAAATGCTCCAAACATATTCCACCTATGGGTCACCTGTATAATCTATCACTCAAGTGCATAATTCTGCATCAAATACCCAAATAAATGAAACACATTTCTTTCCTTACTAATTTTTCAATTCAAGTGAGTTATGAATGATAAGAAAGCAAACTTTAATTGCAGCTGTTTGTACAGGTAATATGCTTGTTAAGGCAACAGGACTAAGCACAAGAGATCTCTAATCAGGCCTTACCTTTTTAAGTGAAAAAACCTGTCCTGTGTTTAAAAGCACAACTGCACATACTAAAACACATTGGTCTTTGAGAAATCTGCTAATTTACAGCAATTTTTTACCTCATCTGTACATTCATGTACCTATTGTGTAAAAATTCCCAGGAAAAACTGAATTGACATTTTAAAAATTAGGTAGCTATAGTTATCGCCTCAAGTTTAGCAGCAAAGTATCTGGCTATTCTGAAATGCTAAACCACAGCAAGTCCTACTCACACACATTTTCCACCTTATTAAGTCATCTCACTTGCGAGAGCATTGAAAATCATCACCCAGCTGCCTTGACAAGATAGGTCCCAAATTTCACGATCTGCGAGACCAATTCATAAGCTGCACGTCCCACTTGAGTGATAATGCTCCTGATTTCATACAAGTCCTCCTATGCCCCACGAAAAATGTGCTTTGTTTTACGAGACAGCACTTTGTTTTCAGTAGGAGGTGTTAAAAAATTCACTGCGCACACTAATCACTTCAGTGTACAGGTCATCTTCTCCGAGCCAAACAAGTGTCAGCACTCTGTACAGTCGTTAGGGAAAGGGAGGGAATTAAAATACCTAATCCTCTCTTGCTGCCTTCAGGTTAAATAAATTCATCTCTCAATATGTAATCCTAACCATGCTCTTGCAGGGTTTTTATGTCAAATCCAATTTTTAAGTGGAGGTTCCTACATTTTCTGCTTCAAAAACAGTAGATTGTGTGCCAGAGACTCAAACTTCTAAGCCTTCCTGAATGCTGTACATTCACTCCTACCACACAGCTAAAGGTCACCAAGATTTTAAATGTAACAAGGGACAGTAAGAGCAGCACAGCAGGTGCTTCAGGTGACTTATTTCCTTAAAGCTAGTCACCTTGCAGAACCACACCAGTGCAGCTCTGTTCAGTACCAAGGCTGTCCGTGTGTCATTTTTTTGCCTTTTACAAACGGGAGAAGATAAGGTGGCCCACGGCAGCTGATGATCCCAGAGCAGCACGCTGCTCTCTCAGCTCTTGAGCTGCAACAGTAGGTCCCAGCCCTTTCACCAGCCCCAGGACAAAAGACGTGCATGCCTGGACTATGCACCTTCTGCAGTGTTTCCAGGCAAGCTCCTGACTTACACCCCCGATGTGCTATGTCACCGGTGTGATAAGTCATTATTATTTTGCTCTAAACAGCACAGGTTGTGACCGTGATACAGCACAAAACGCAAGTGTCCAAAAAGCTGCCCGGGCATTTCTTCAGGTTATTTCCTGTTTTACCTTTCCTCTAAAAGGTCACCAAGCAAGTTATGTGGAAATTAATCCACATAAATCAAAGGGCTAATCTGACAATGAACTGATAGGACACATCAATGTCAGACTTGACAGAAGTACCTAAAAATACATTTGTTCTTACTGCTTGATAGCATTTAAATCCACATCAGCATTGCTAAGAACTTGTCAGAAGATTTCACATTTTTCTGTGGCTGACAGGGACCAAAACCAGAGCAGCTGCATTTCGCTGGATTCGTGCAGAAAGAAAAGAGCATAAAAGACCATGAGTTTTAAAGCCAGTTTGATTCAGAGGAGAAGAAATCTTACTGCTGAGTGGGGAACAAAGGCAAAAATCTGTTCTCTAGAGTCAAGTCAGTCAGTCCAGTAAGATCTACATTGTCAGTTAAGCACAAGGATCCACTTTTTTCTCAGTTCACCTCACTGCCCTCCCCACTCACCCACCCCATCCATACACAAGAACATGCCCACTCCCAGACTAGACCACGATTAGAGCGTTGACACCAGGGGATGGGAAGGTGTTCGAGCACCCACACAGCATGTCGGCATAGTCCAAGCTCCTGTTGACAGACTAGGAAGCCCAGTACATCAGCAAAACCCCTGAACTCCCATCTCCAAGCACAATGTGAACGGTTTCAACCCAAGTTTAAAGCCAGGCCAAGAGCTAGCAACATGACCAGAGCACATTTGGATTGGCCTATACCATGTCCATCGAGCAAGCCTGCCCTTCACCTCACAGAAAAAAAAAAAAAACCACACCAAAACCACCCCATATAAAAGTAAACACTAAACATTTGTGCAACACCTCACCCCTCTGAAAGGTAAATTTGCTAAACTACCATATAGAGTCAGATGCTAAGGACTCACATGAATACACATGCTGCCTTCCTGACATCCAAACACAGATAATTTCATCTTGGCTGGCATCTGTGGAAAGCCAAAGGGGCTTTCGGGCAGGAGGGGGAGGAAATAGGCCTGGTAGCACCGAGTAACTGCCTTTTGTCACGTAACTGTCAGAGACCTCAGCCAGGTGTAGGGAAATGGGCTCTCCCCATGCCGAGAGAGGCAGAGGGCAGACACCGCGCACAGGGATCATCTGCAGGGGACAAGGAGAGCAAAGTAATGGGAAATCCCTGAACAGGAGGCACAACGTCACCTCAGAAGCCACGGGGACAGGAGTGAAGGCTATTTTCAGTTCTAAATTCTTTTCACTGTCTAAAGCTAAACGTATCTTAAAAGATGCGGATTTTGAAGAGACAGTGGTAAACAGGGAAAGGAGGTAAATTATTTTACCTGTTTCCTGAAGATCCTAGCCATGGAGCAGTTCCAGATCTCTTTGTCTGTATACACTCTAACCAGAACATGTAAGCTTTTGCACAAGCTATTATTCTGATCTCCTGGGAAATGCACATTCCACATAAAGCACATGAGCCAACATGACACTTAAGAGTTGTCCTGGTGCCTGCTTCCACATAAAATGCATTAATAGGCATAAGGCTGTTAGAAAAAACTGTTTGCATTCGAGTAATACTGAAAGAAAGAAACTCTTAAGTCAGTTACCTAGGTTTGCTTGAAAAATCATCTATAATGATCTCTTGCAAAATATATGAATGTAAGAATAAAAGCTAAATTATATGCTTTCTCCTTTCTTTTCTCATGGTATCTCCCTTTGCAGAAGGGAGCAAACACCACATAAAATGGCCTGCTGGGAAAACCTGAGACAACTGGCAAATCTCCAAGCCGGTGTTAACCATAAGAGAATGTGCCTATACATGGTTAAATACAGACACCATAGAGAGGGAAGCAGTACACCGTAACAAACGCAGTTTGGTTTTACTGAAAGAGCTGGGCCTGAACTGTATAAATGTTGACATTCATGTTGTATGAAGCTGACTTCCATCTAAATAGTTTGATCATTATTAAATGACATTTGGAATCACTTCTGTAGACTGACTCAACAACGTAACTGTCAAGTCTCACAGTAGTGAGACAATAAGCTTCTAAGAGACCTCACTTCACTGTGTTTAAGTATCAGACACGGCGCTCTGCTCCCTGCTGGGACCCAAGGGAATGCCAGCGCATGGATCACAAGATCCAATCATTCAAGGGCGCAAAATCATTGTAACAGATAAACTGAGAAAAGCAATTTGAGCTCAAAGTTTATCCAGCTTGAAATTCCTGAGGACTCTGAGTGTATTTGAGAAGCATTTACATAAATGACCAAAAAGGAGTAAATATCAAAAAAACCTTTTGCTCACCACCAGATTGTAGGTTAAAATACATACAGAGATATATATAATGTTGAACCGAATAAAATATTGGATTTATTTTATCTATAAAATAAATTTTTGTAGAATGTTTTGATTGTAATGTTACATCTAAACAACTCTGCAAAAATCAAATTTATTAAAAACCTAGATTCTCTTTGAATTACTGTACTAGTGCATTACCAAGATTTTTTGAAAGCAGGAAAAAAAAAAAAAACAAAACAAGACAAAAAAAAACATTAAAAACACACCTTAACCCCACATTTCTGAGATAAATGGGGATCCTACAGGTTCCAAACAACCCTGGCTTCTGTTCTGTCATTTGTCTAAAAGCTGTAAGAGGTTTGGAAACACAAAGAATTTATGGAGGTTTTTTAAAAAAAAAAAGTCTCTGAATTAAACAAAATATAAAACAGGTACCCACCCATTACATGCAATCAGTTTTGTTCCAAGTATTTAATATTATGAGAAGGCTTTGAAAATTGTATTTCTCCATAATAAAACAAATCACCTGTTTCTGATATTACACATCTAAAGGAAAACCACCTATCTTTATCATGGTTCAGAACCCTGTACAGTACCCTAAAAAGGAACTTTTTTCCAAGGCAGTTAATGCCATGCCATCCTGAAGTGGGAAAAGTATTAAAATAATCACAAGTCAGAGGCTGATACTCTTGGAATTTTAGGGTTTTTTTTCCCCCTCCAGTTTGTTGAAGTTGAAAGGGTTCTGACAACAGTCAAAGTAAAATTCAGGAAAAATACTTGCAAATGTATTTTTTTTCCTTTATTCATAATATATCTTTGTCAGTCTTCTAACAATTAATTTTTATAATATTTAAAGTCAATTATATATCACTACTTTTTTTTTAACTACCTTTGCTATAAAATTATGGTATGCTGTTATTACAAGTTTATACCAGGACCCAACGTATTTGCTTGAGTGTCACCCCTTTTAACTGTCAGCACCGAAACTATTATTTATGAGCCAGCCAACTTAGGATGAACAGAATTTCAGCTGAAGCATTTTGCAACCAATATA